AAGTGCTACAGTTCAGAGCTTAGCCACTTAGATTTTTCTGAACAATTCTGATGCAAAAAACTAATGCTACTTAAAATATAGAATGCACATAGGAACAATTAAACAATTAGTCCTAAAGACTCCATTCTGTGGCTTAGTCACTCTTTTTTAGGCTTAATATTTATCCCTGGGCTTTTTAGTAGTGTGTTGTGGAAATAATGAATGTTACATTCTATATCTATGACCTGTGACTGTAACTGCAAGAATTATCTTTACTAGATTAATATGTCAGTACTTTTTCTAAAATGTCTGAAAAGACTACTTTTTATTCTAAAACATTACAATAATGCAAACATTAGCAGGCAACTGACCTGTTGTTACTTTTAAGTGGAAGCTAAATGAGCAGATCTCACAGAACTAAAGAGAAGAACCCTGGTTCCTAAAGGTTGGGAAAAGTGGGGTGGGAGGAGAGCTGATGATTAATTGGTGGAGAGGTGTCCTAAAATAGGCAGAAGAGCTCCTATTTTAGGATAACCAGTGTTGAAACCAATTGACTCTATTTCTAAAAAACTGGTAGTGATGATTTTGTGTTTTCMTAAGTCAAAAACGTAATACATATTTGAGGTGACAGGCAATGCTGATTACTTTGCTCTAATCAAACTGTTCCCATAAATATGTACAATCCTTATGTGTCCATTAAAATAAAAAAGAAAAAAGTTAATAAGTATGAGTAAAGATCCACATATTTGGAGAAATATTTCATATCCTTTTGTAGTGCACTCAATGAAATAGAAATTCTCCCCCACTAAACCCACTCAAAAATATAAGTTAGATGTGTTTCTAAGTGTTTGAATTTATATTGCAGATAAATGCCTGAAAATGGGTCTTATTCCATCAGAGTTGGTTTTAGCAATATAACAAATCTCTCCCTCCAAAAAAAAAAAAAAAAGATGCACTCCAAGAACCACTGTTCATTGTACATTTATTCTGTGTCAACTATGTACTGTGTGCTCCGATTGTATTACTTATTGACTTCAACATCCCTTGACCTTCCTAATCATATAATCTTCATTCAACATGCCTGAAGTCCTAAAGGTCATGCAGTTATACCAAGTGCACAGTAATTGACATATTGATCCTGTGCCCTGCTCTAAGCACTACCACATCAAGCACAATTGTAAGCACTGCACCTTAATTTACAAACATCCATGAAAATCAAAATCATAAATCTTACCGTGTGTCAGTTCTTTTTAAAAATTCTAGTGATAGCGAACTCTATGGAGAAACATTTGCTCAGTGAGCTGCAAAACATGATGTCCATATCCAAGTCTTTATACCTAAGAAAGAGAAAGAGCTCCTGTGACAGTCAAGGTAGAGAATGTCCCCACTGCTCCTCTGAGTGGTCTCATAAACAAAGTAAAAGATAGAAAAAGAAATGAACAACATTTCCTCCTGGATTTCCATCTAGATTTTAAAGAATCTTCCCTCATAGGTCATGAACTTGTAGAATTACTCTTTGGATTTCCCCACGGAGAAATTTTCCATCTGCATGATGTGCCAAAACACAATTTTGTGGGTTATTTTTTTTTAACTTGCTCATGTATCTGCAAAACTTTTGTCCTGAGCAATTAAAGGTTGTGTTTCCTGTTTTCCTGTCTTACTGACCTTGGATTTCTATCTGAAGATGCTTTCATTTCCCATGATACTCAGGAATAGAGCACTGGGTACTTGGGCAAAGAACATACTGTCTCTTGCAGTATTCAGGTCAAATGCCYGGGCATCTAGTAAATATAAACACAAAATTCTATGATAAACCATCCATCCATCACTCTATATGGAAAACCTAACTATAGCAAAGAGTATTTATAAAACAAAAATATTTCATATAAAATATGTGAAGAAGTATGCATTATTTGATTGTTAGTTTTCTCTCATGAACTGATCTTATAAAATAATAATTTAAAAAATCAAAGAAGATTTAAGGAACTTTCCTTTTTTAATTTCCTTGGAAGATGGTGTGGCAGATGTAACTAATGTAAAGGAACACAGCATTTAAAATGATGTTTGGGGAAAACTCGAACACAGATGTTTAAATTGCTTCAGGTGGATCCTCACCAACAATTTGCTCTTATTGCAGAATTTAAATTTTTCATTCTATCTAATTTTATGTCTCCTCACACACCACAAAAAAGTGCATGATTTAAGTGATTTTTAAGAAATATTTAAATCCATAAGGACCATTAATTCTACAGTCTGTGGACTTAATCACTACATTCTATAATGTGGTATTTGTAGACTGTGTCCCCAACCCTGCATTCACACACTGCAATCAACAGGAAGAGAGAGTGGTCAGGCAATTTAAAACCACAAAAACTTCAATTTAGATCATGAGGTTCTCAACTAGATTCTGATACACACAGACAAAACCAGACTGAGAAATGTGTTATCTCAGTGATCAACATGGAGTTTGATGCCACACTGCATCTGATCAAAACATATCCCACTGCCCACCAGAGATTATCATTCAACAAATCCTTTGATTTTCACTTGTAGAACAAAAATGATTCTAAAAACTACCTTKAAGGGATGCTAGGAAGTCTAGATAWTTCAATATGTGCAAAGCATATACAAGATGTGGCTGTGCACTGTGTGCAATTGGGGCAATTACATTCATCATGATCATTAGCACTGGCTTTCCAAGAGCTAAATTTTACTGTTCAAAAATGTGAATTTCAATTGTTCCCTCACTTATAATGAAGATATTTGCACAACTGCCTTAAAACATCAAGTTTCTTTGCTGAGTGACATAATTAAGTTAGTACCATAGATCATCCTAGTTTTTTTTTTTTTCACAATGATCAAAGGTACAAATGATAGATCAATATAAGTTTAGTAATCACAAAAAATAAAATAAATTTAATGTGTACAGCATCTTGAAKATTGGTGTAAATATAAAATAAAAGTTAAATACGTTTTGGGTTGTGGAAAATACTGGTATATACAGATGAAAATATGAGGAGTGAAAGCATATGTAATGACAAAAAAGAAACAAAGCTATGATGTAAATAAGAAGAAAAACTCTTTTGGGGGGCAAAAAATTCAATTTGCAATTTTCAGTTATCCAAATTTCAATGTTATAGTCATACAATGAAAACAATAATAAAACCTGGAACAAGTTATCCTCTTAGTAGGAGGCCATAAAAGCAAGGTTATGAAATTTGGGTAACTTTTCTTTTAGCAAGGATAAATGTTGGAGCCATAAAAACATGTTCGCAGCTTTTCAAGGATAAGTCAGTACCAAAGAAGAAAAGTCACCCAGAATTATTTGATTTTTTTTTTAACCTAAGTTACCCACAACTAGAATTGGTGGTTATACATAATAAAGAACCTACTCCTTTTCAGATRCCAGACACCTACTGAAGACAGCCATCTTTTTTTGTTCCCTGCATTTAGTAACTCAATCYAAAATATTTAAGCTGCCTCATGGTTGTCCCCATAAAATAAATGCTGGCATGAAGTGCTTCCAAAGTACCATTGATCCATGGCTTTGGAGTTGTCAAGTTGTTTCTCATTGAAGACTCAGAAAAGTTACTATCAAGTGTTATCTGCGGGTGTAAAAAGACTAAACATCTTTCCTTAGCTTTAGGAGGATCTTTTTTATGTTTTCAAACATAGAAAACAAGTTTTGCATACTATTTTTTTTACTTATCAATTCTATATTAAATGTTGCATACAGTTAATGGCAAACACAATATCTCTCACTTTGGGTGAGATAACCTTTGTTATCATTGTGAAAATCATTGGAACTTACTGACCAAATATTCATGCTGAGATTTCATAATTCCAGTTATGATAATGGTCAATCCTAAAATCCGTTAAGTAGATCCTCACAGGCTTTTATTGAGATGATTATTATTTTTCTTTGAAGAAGGAGAAAATTCAGGTATTACCAATTCTCACGTTTTCCAATCACTCCTATCTTTTTACTTCCTTTCTATCACTTGAAAAGTAAACGTGGGCAGTTAAAAATGATGAATAAAAATAATAAAATAGTTGTTGCAGTTCTCAGATTGAGATGCTCACCATGACTTTCAAAGCTGCCTGTTCTGCCATCTGCCTTTTCAGTTATACTCCTAGGGCTTAAGCTCATAAACTTTCCAGTCTAACAACTGCTKTCCCTCCTGAATACATTCCCTGATCACTCCATAACTCACCATCAGCCTTGCCTCTGCCATCCTCCCCCCACTACAATGTCCATTTCTACTGTAGACCTAGCAGCAGTTTAAACAATATGTCCACAGAAATCTTCCCAGATTGCACCAGGAAAAGAAATTATTCACTAATGCCTTCCACTATTGAAATGGGTGTGCATGCATGCATGTGTGTTGAATTTAATATATAACTTTTAAGTATAATCTTCTTTGATTTTTGCTTCAACATCTTTTATTTAAAATATTTTATAATATATTATAAATGCTCTACACAGCTCAGACTAATTTGGGTGATAGAATTTTGTAGGGGCAGAGATCCAGGATGAGAACCTGAGGTTTCAAATTTCATGAAATAACTCTCTAAAACACCACCCTACATATCATGAAATAACTCTCTAAAACACCACCCTACATGCCACACAAAGCCCCGTATTCCAATCATCCAGTATTTCTACATCAGAGAGAACATTCTTTTCACTTGAAATTCCTAATTTCAAATATTTTTTTTCTACAGAGTTTTGTTTTCTAATGTGTAATATGAATAGAAATCATCATTATATGYTGATTCCCTTCCAATTTTAATAAATGTAAGAAAGCATAAAATTGAACTGTCTTTTATTTATGTATGAGAATATTGAGAGGCAACTCTAAGTCAAAGTGTGATCTTCAATTAAAGTATATGTTTTCACTGCTCCACTTAGTGTAATTTTTCCTCAGAATTATGTAATCTCTTTCCATATGAGGCACATGCCAGACAAAGTGTTTGTCTAAATAAGCACTAAGATTTTTACACTCTGCATTATATTTTTTTTATACTACAATACACCATTTCTTCTGCAAAACCACCAACAGTCTATTCCATAATCTCCTCATGGCTGTTTTCACTTCTTTGTTCCTCAATGTATACACCAAAGGATTGAGTAAGGGAGTCAGGATGGTGTAAAATATTTCCACTTCTTTATCAAAAGAGAAAGCAGAAGGAGGTCTTGCATATATAAATATGCATGGGACAAATAACAAAACCACAACAGTAATGTGAGATCCACAGGTGGACAGAGCTTTCCTCCGCCCTTCAGAACTGTRTGTTTTCAGGGAGAACAAGATGATACCATAGGAGACCAGCAGCAAGGAGAAGTTGATGATGCAGATTAGTCCACTGTTGGCGATCACCAGAAGGCCTTGSACATGAGTGTCAGTGCAGGCCAGCTTCAGTAATGGGTATAGGTCACATAAGAAATGATCAATGACATTAGGCCCACAGAAGGGTAGCTGGAAAGTAAAGAGAATCTGTATGATGGCATGCAAGAAGCCCCCTGTCCAGGACACCCCCACCAGAATGCCACAGAGCCTCCAGTTCATGATGGAAGAATAGTGCAAGGGCTTGCAAATGGCCACATAGCGGTCATAGGCCATGACTGTGAGGATAATCATCTCTGCCCCAGAAAAGAAGTGTTCAGCAAAAAGTTGAATCATGCATCCTGTATAGGAGATGGTTTTCCTCTTGTACAGGGAGTCTGCAATCATTTTTGGTGTGATGACAGAGGAGAAGCAGGCATCCAGGAAGGACAGGAMAGCCAAGAAGAAGTACATGGGGGAGCCCAGCAGTGCAGGGCTACAGAGGATGGTCACTACAATCAGCATGTTGCCCCCAACAGTTGCAATGTAGACCAACAAAAACACAATGAATACTATTTTCTGAACAGTAGGATTCTGTGAAAGCCCCAGGAGGACAAATTCAGTTATGAAGCTTTGGTTTTTCATGATTTCTCTAAAATGATTATAAAACTGATGATAGAAATCTGCAAATACAATAAAAGAGCATCAGACTAATTTYTAAGAGTCACACCATGAAGCTGATATATACTTATGACAATTTTGTTTTTATTGATTTTTCTTGGTACCAGGAATGGAAGCCTGTGCTGCTTAACCACTGAGACACATTCTCTTTTTTATTTTTTATTTTGAGACAGAGTCTCACTAAGTTGCTTAGAGCCTTGCTAAATTGGTGAGGCCAGCTTTGAAATTKTTAGCCTCTCAAKCCTCTGTGATTACAGGAATGTGGCCACATACCAGGCTATTTATGCCTATATTATTATTATTATTATTATTATGAATACTGCTTATTTAATTATTATCACTGAGTACAAAACTGAGAAATGTGTTGAAGATAGTTTTCAGAGGTTAGATAAAATTGAAGCATGGATGAATTCTTGAATATTTCAAAATAACCTAGTTTTAATAAGGGGGAAGCAAAGCATACCCATATGTTAAAGAAGCAGAACAGTTTTTATTTCATGTGACGCTGATAATTTAACAATGACTTCCAGGGTAAATGATTTAGAATCATTAAGAAACTATGTAAGGACTTTGATTTATTAACCATGCCTGCAATGGGCGTGAAATAGTGGAGAGCAGATTGCTAATTATKACCTGAGACAGTTTTACTTATATAAAGAAATAGAAAAATATGCACCTTAAGAGGCACCCAAGAATGATGACTATTCCTTCATTTTTTCTTTACAAATATGAAGTGGGAATGGGAAGGACAGTAGAATGAGACAGACATTACTACTCTACATACATGTATTATTATTATTATTTTCTAATTTGTTTTAATTAGTTATATATGACAGTAGAATGTACTTATAT